CACCAGAGACATTGATGGCCGCCGAAACAGCCGCAAACAAGGCCAATGCATGAGCTAACGCCACCAGAACTAACCCTCCCGGCGTGTTTGTCCCCGTGTGAGCCGCCGTGTCCCAATACAACTTGTCTGTCCAATAACACATAACATAGTTCATATCACACATGCATGCATGGATGATGCATAGTTCCAACGATAACATTCACTATAACTAAAGTCAAAGGAATTCTTATATATTCCTTCCTAATTATTAAAACAAAAATACTGATTCAAAACGGATAAATCTAAAATTGTTTATATAAATAAGTTTGTGAAGGAGCTATATATATACTAGTGTTAGTTCTGATAATACTCTCTCAAGTAAAGATGGTAACAACATATGGCTGAAAATGTTTTTTTTTGGTTTGGGGGATATTTTCTGTGTATGGATAAACTACTAACCTAGAGCGAGGATTGAGCCTTCTCCAGCAAAGACGAAGACGAACGTGGAAAGAAACTCAGCCAAAGTGGCTCGAATGGAGTCCGGGTGAGTCGCCTCGTCAGCTCTTCCGAATCCATATGCTCTTCTAGTAGATGTAGCCATTTATAAACCTAATTTAAGTGAGAGGATCAAACCTTATTAATGGATAAAGAAGAAGGAAGAAAAGGCAAGAGAAGAAGACTTGAAGAGAGAGAGCTTAAAAGAAGCAAAGTGGAAGCAATTAGGAGACAGATGTGATATGAGAGTGTCTAAAACTGAACACGTGGATCCTGTTCGTGTCTATCCATCCATTCCTCGATCTTACCTGATCATTCAATCTGGACAGTTCCTTTATTAAGATTCAATATATACATAACAATGGTACTGTGTAAATGTGTATGTATATTATCCATGTTGTGACTATATATCTATGCATGTGTGCCAAGTGGATCAAGTCACAATTCTCTTAATCTTGATCCGGTTTCTGTTTTCCTCGTCATTTATTTTGTCTTTTCATGTGAGACAGTAGAGTCAAAATATCGATCGCATGATATTTATTACCAGTTTTTGGTAAGAACGAAGATTATGAAAAGAAAAAATAAAAGAGATTAAAACTTGCTTTAGTTTGATAATTTAAGACAGATTCAATCTAAGAACTTGTTTTAAATATAATTTCACTTTTGTTGATTCTAGCTACATCATTAGATTTTATTTTAGAGTACGAACGCTACTAAAACAGAAAATAATTTAATAATATTTACGTTTTGAACATGTACATAAACTAGATTCTAATATTCTATATCATTAGATTATTTATAAAGTGAAAAAGCTACTAAAACGCAAATGAAATTTAATACTAAGATTTTTTTTTTTTTTGGTGAAGAAATTTAATACTAAGATAGGAGTATTATTTATTAATCTAACATTTATTAAAACGCATAAACTGTTACAAATAACTCCAATTCACTACGAAATTAAACACTTATCATACCATTTTAGTATAATAGTTAGTTGCTTCATTTAATTTATTTGGGAGCCAATGCTTTGATGGCCATCTTTAAACCGGTGGAACAATCCTCGGGAGTATATGTTCCAATGAAATAATTATAACCATAATGAAGTTGGATCTTATCGTCTCCGGACGAATACTCTATCGCTCCAACGTTCGCTTCACAAGTTTCATAACCAGTTCGGTTTACCACAATCAAATTAAATCTCTGATCATCGTATTTGAATTCTGCAATGCATCACCATGAATATACCAATATACTCTTCACATTAAAACCAAAAAATTATACCAATATAAATCTATTGTCTAAGCAGATTAAAGTTAAGCCAATATTAAAACTATGAATATATGTTTTATCAATCACACATTCACACTACCGTATTATGAATTTTTTTAAGATCATTGATAACATACCGAGGATATCACCAGCATAAAAGGTTTTGCCTCGTGCCCAAGTGTCCATCGGAACAACCGGGTCCCAACCGTCGTCGCCTCCCACAAAGTAGGTGGTCGGTCTCCGGGCGTAGGTCACTGCGTTGGCTAGAAACATGCACAACACTGTCATGGCAATAGTTATTGGAACCGTAGCCGCCACATAAGAAACGTGTCCAGATGATTGAGCCATTTGGATCAATATAGGTTAAAGGTTTTAGTTTTGTGAATTATTCAACACCTAAGTGTTAATATATATACTATATAGACTGTTCTTGAATTTGAAAAGGATCAATACATTTCCATGCAAGAGATTTTTGGTCAATGGTTTTAATTTGGTGAACTAATTAACACTTTTATATATGTAGACTATTTTTATCAGTTGCCAGAAATAGATACAAATTCGATAAATTCATAGATTTCTTTTTGTATTGAGGAGACAGACATATGCTAGCTTGTGGTTATGGAAGAAATATAAATATTGAAAATTATTGCGTTGAAGTATTAATGATTTTCATATAATGTATTTATTGGTATTTAGGGTTTTTATATGATAGTACGAAAACACTACATTGGTTTTTTCAAATACATTACTTTAATGATTTCGACTCTTAAGAAAATGCATTGGATTACAAAATATTACCTTGTATTGTATTTTTGAAAAGAAAAAAACTACTACATTAGATAGATAAAAGGATTACGCAATTGGTTTGCAGTTAGACGTCACGTAAAAGGAACATTTAATTGGTACTTTTCGGTTTGTACCGGTTTGGTATAATGTTGGGGGGCACCTGAGATTACTTTCCTTTAACACACATGTTTTCCCAAATTTCTCGGGTTCTAAAGCGCGTGTGAGTTCAAGCGCGTGAGCTTACGCTATTCTCGCGGCTCTCACCATTGTTTCTCTTTAGGGTTTTTTTTCAGCTTTGCAGAAATCCAGAGCGATCTTTTTGAACTATAACCATTGAACCCTAATTTTTCTTCTCTTTCGATCTCACCGACCTTCGATTTCGTGTTTGAATTTATCAATCTTGGTACCTCCGAGCTCAAAACCCCTAGAGAAACCCTAAATTTGGTTGTCAGGGGAATGTCTTCTGACCATATATCAGGTGGTGGAGCTTCGAAGACGAAGAAGCAAAAGTGGAGCTCAAGCCAGAACCGAACCAAACCAATGGTGGTTTCTAGAAACGAGCGATCGGTTCCTCTTGTATCTCCTTCGAACTCGGAGGACGATCATCACATGTTAAAGATAAGTCTGAGCTCGATTTCGAAGCTTGAGCTTAGGAACTTGAAGCGGAAACTAAAATCTGAGCTAGATGAGGTTAGGAGCTTGATCAAACGGTTCGATCCCGAAGTTAATCTTGGTGGAAATATTGGGTCAATGGCTAAAACTGGTGTTGTAGGGAGAAACAAGAAGCTGAAAACAGGGAATGGAGGAGGTAAGAAAAGTGGGCATGGAGCTGAAAAAGGTACGGTTCAGATTTTCAAGAACTGTAACAGTTTGCTTACGAAATTGATGAAGCATAAGTGTGCATGGGTATTCCATGTCCCAGTGGATGCTGAAGGACTTGGCTTGCATGATTATCACAATATTGTTAAAGAGCCTATGGATTTGGGTACAGTGAAGACTAAGTTGGGGAAAAATTTGTATAAGTCGCCATTGGATTTCGCTGAAGATGTTAGACTTACTTTTAACAATGCGATTTTGTATAATCCGGTTGGGCATGATGTGCATCGTTTTGCTGAGCTTTTGTTGAACATGTTTGAAGATAAATGGGTATCCATTGAAATGCAGTATGATAATCTTCATAGGAAGTTCAAACCAACTCGTGATATTGAGTTCCCTGCTCCTGCTTCAACCATTGCTCCTATTGTAGAGCCATTACCAGCAGTTCCTACACCACCTTCCCCGTCTCCTCCTCCACCACCACAACCTCCGGTACTTGAAAATACGACTTGGGAGAGAGAAGAATCTATGACAATCCCAGTGGAACCTGAAGCTGTAACTACTGCTCCCGACAAAGCTGAAGAAGAGGAAGCACCTGTTAACAACAGGGACCTCACTTTGGAAGAGAAACGGAGACTCAGTGAAGAGCTTCAGGACTTGCCTTATGACAAACTAGAGACTGTTGTTCAGATCATAAAGAAGAGCAATCCAGAGCTCTCTCAACAAGATGATGAGATTGAGCTGGATATTGATAGTCTTGATATCAACACGCTTTGGGAGCTTTATAGATTTGTGACTGGGTATAAGGAGAGCTTGAGCAAGAAAAACGAGGCCCAGGGATTTGGTTCAGAAAGAGATGCTGAATCTGTTCACAATAGTATTCAAGAACCAGTAAGCTTTCCATAGCTAATTGTTTATTCAGGTGTTCTGCTCTTACTGTATTTGCCTAATATCATCGTTTCTTCTTTTGGTTCACAGACCACTCTAGTAACTGGCACCAATACATCGAGAGTTACTGAATCAGGTAAGCATTTAAGTTCACAATAATCATACCAAATTCGGATGTAACTGTATTTGTTTATCTACACAAAGAAAAACCAGGGGAATAATGATTCTTCCATAAATTTGTTTTGACATGTAAAAAACTAGGAAAAGCAATTCGCACATCATCTCCTGGTGGGCAAGAAAACAATGCAAGTGGATCAAGTAGTTCTAACAGTTCTAGTAGTGACTCAGGATCTTGCTCTAGTGGTAAATGTTGAAACTTTGTGTTACCATATCAGGCTATCAGCATCACAACTCACATAACTTTTCTTCTGATCTGCAGATTCTGACAGTGACAGCTCCTCAGGACGTGGATCAGATAATGGTAATTAGGCCAACAAGTCGAAAGTCTTTTAGCTTTAGAGTCAGACTGTCATGCTGTTTGATCTCTTTCAATAGCACAGTAAGATTGATTACTAAGTCGATAACTCTCCCAAAAGGATTGGTTTCTGTATTGCGATTTTTTACTGTACAGAAAAATGAAACCATTTTTTTTTTTTTTTTAATGTTTTCTTCTCCTGTTTTTGGATCTAATCAACATACTTGTTCCTTGCTTCTTGATTGGAACAATTGATTGTTTAAAAGCAGTCAACGAAACTAGAAGGGACAGAAAGAAGAAATTAATTTTTCCATATTAGTTACAAACTAAATATTGGTATCACATGAGTCTCACCAAAATAGAAGACATTTATATCTTACAAAAGCTCCCACTCAGAATCTTGTGATACAAATGGCACATTTGACTGTGAGCTTTTGGAGTCTAGAGATGTTGTAGCATGTTCCTTAGTGTTTACCAGATCACAACCCATGTCTGCGTCTCCGAACCATATAGAAAGCTGCTCATATTCCTTCTCTCTTCTTCTTTTCGAAGTTATAGCATCCATTATCTTTCTCTGATGATTACGATGAAGAAGAAACATATTAGGAATAAAGAGACTGGGAGAGCAGTATTCAATTTTATGACAGATGCATCATGAAAGAGGACCTTGAATGATCTTAGTTGCTTAGTCCTGTCACGCGTTGCATATAGCAAATTGTCGTCAAAATCTGAGGGGTCTTCTCGAAATGTCATGTCATACAAATCAATGGTATCCATTGGACCAACATCGAAGTCTTCAATGAAGAACTCATCTTGATTATTAACTACACAATAAGAGTTGAACATGATGAAACTAACAAAACTGCACAGAGACCAATTTCCAAAACTTGTAGAAAAAGATGAGAAAACACACAAACCTTTCATAGAGTTGCTGCCATAGGATCTAGTGCTTGCCACTTTGTCTTGAACAGGTGAAGCTTGAGTCTCTGTAGCGAATGGGATTAGATTTGAAACACCCCTAGAAATCCCAGAGACAGATACAAAAGTATCATCATCACATGTTATTGCAGTCACAAAGCTTTCCGGGGAGCGGTGAGTAGATTGAGAAGATACTGGATCTTTGGGGCAAGGGGAAGTGGTTGCTGTCTGATCACAATCACTGTACTCTTCAAGCTTCTCATCAATCAAAACAGAGTCTGATAACTTCTCCTTAAAACGCTCTCCCTCCATTTGTTCCTCTGTAAGTTTCTCTGGTTCATCCTTTACAGAATCCAATCCTGAAGAATCACTTGATTCTAAAGAAACCTTACCCTGTCCAACATAAGAACCAAGAGACTTCAATGCCTTCTACTCTACATCTTTTTAAACCATCAAAGACTCAAGAGACTTAGGAACTAGCAAAAGTACCTGAGAAGCCAAACTGTCCGATTTACGGTAGATTTTAATTTTATCATACCATGCTCTTCCTTTAGAATCTCTACTCATAGCACACACAACAACGAAAATACTACTGAAAAAGAAGTAGAAAAAAACCCAGTAAATACCTTTGTGTAACAAACAAGATCATCATCACAATTCAAAACACAAATGATAACAGGGGAGCTTTTCCATATAAAGTAAAAAAGAAAGCTCCCCACTTCGAAAGCGAGATACTTTATTAGACAAGATGTTGTTCAAAACCTATTAAAGAAGAAAGAATCTTTTGTTCTACGAAAGACCAGAGATATTCTACCAATTTTGTGATCAAAACACGAGGGCAGGCATCACAAAAACAAACACTCTTACGAGAATCGAATTACATGAAATGAAAGTGAATTTCCGAGGAAGATGGCCAGAGGGACGAAAGAAAGGTAAGGGCAGACAAGAAAACCCTAATATCCAAATTAAAAACAGATATAGTAGATGAAAATCAAACAAAAGGAAAGAGAAAGACCCGAAGAAGTCGACTTGACAAAGAACGAACGCAGAAAATATATAAACCAGTCTTTTTTATATAAAAAAAACAAGGTTCTTATATTTTTCTTATCAGTTAAGAAATTAAAAAACTATTGGATAGTTCTGATTTGGGCCTGTAAGCCCAACTGAAAATGAATCGATTTAGACAAAAAAATATATATATATATGATTCAAAATTCATTACTTTTATTAATGTTTTAAAAAAAGGAAAATAACAACAACAAATGCAAAAGAAACAAAGAAACTAAAAAAACAATACATTCAAATGATATAAAGTCCAAATCAGGTAAAAGTGCCACGACATTTGACTGAACCACAGAGACAAATCTTCTTGCCCATATAAACCTTTTCATCTTCTTCGGTCCTCTCCACACGAGAAACTCCATAGTCATATGTTAACTCTGTCATTGGAGGAATATGCTTCATAGCAAAAAGTCCAATAAGAATATATATATCACCGTTGTTTTCATACTCTATAGGCTGCCAGAAAACATTCGGTGAACAGCTGTGGTTCATGAACCGACCAACATTTCCGTTTTCCTTGGCGCTTATCAAGACTTGTGTTGGAAGATTGATAAATTCTGAGACTTGCTCCCAACAATCTCCAAGCAAAAGCTCAGGTTCGTAGTTCCATTTAAACCTGGGATAAATCTTAGACGTGTCGAACAAGTAATCATCATCCTCTTCTACTTCTTCTTTCGTCGTCTTTCTCACACCGGCAAACTCGCAGATAAAAGTTCCAGCTCGAATTGGATCCCAAGAACGTAAACCCCAACCACAGTTTCTTGTCTTGAACACTTCCAACTGGAGTTTCAAGCCGGTTTGAACCAACCTGGTTGGGCAATTGTTAGGGCATGGACAAGAACCACCGCACTCGTAAATCAACGGTTTACGACAAACCAAAATGTTGTTATGGTACGGTAGTAGGCCACCGTTTCTCTGCTTGCAGGTGCTGTTTTGATCAATGCATGACTGATGTTGAAAATTTTGGCATCCAAGTGATTGAAGATCAAACGTCATACCAGAGTGACACTGAGATGTGATGTAGTCAAAATCTTCGGGAATCGTTTTGTCGTCTTCATCGACTTCATTAACAAGCGGAACTCGTAAAAGCTCAGCTCCAAAAGAAAGATCTCTAAGGATAAAACCTGGCCTTGAATCAATCAAGTCATTGTCCCTCAAATTTTCAACTAATTTCCAGATTGCATAACCAGAAGGTTGGTTTGGTTTCCTTACCAATTTGAATCTGAACTCCATGAAACCGGATTTTCCTGTCACTGTCCAGGACTCTGTAACCAGATAAATCCCATCATAGATATATACCTTCTGATTGTTGTCAAAAGGATGCATCACTCCCCTCACGACTCTAACGTCATTCCCTTTGCTTACACTTGCTTTCAGTGCAAGATTTCCCCCTTTCAGCTCTTGATCAAAAACACGACCGGACTTGTCCGATCCACCCTGTCCGCAATAGATCAACGATTCAAGCCCATCGGTTTCATCATCGTATTGTCCTGCTGTGACCACACTCGTTGCAGCATGACCTTCCACTACACTCTCTGCAGCCGTCAGAAAATCAATGCCGCCGACCATTTGTCTGTGAAGCCCCACTAAGCACATTTCACCCCAGAAGTAGAATATATCTCCTACTTGTACTCCAGGAACTGGACCTATTCTCCTTCTCGTATTTGTCTTGACCCCAAATTTCGTGAAATTCGTATTAGCCGTTACAAGGATGTCTTCCGTAGGGTTTAGTTGGCATAATCGGCGTCTAACCGCATCAAACCGCATCATTACTGAATCAGCTAACTCTTGGTTTCCATTTTCTCTCTCTGCGTCGGTTATCTCTGAATCAAAATTCCCAAGAAAAGTTGTAACCCTTAAGCTGTTGGGATCATATACTTTTGTCTTCTTCCGCTCGGTCGACGTTGAGTTTTTTGAACCTTTTGGTCGGCCACGTCCTCGTTTTGCTGGAACAGTGCTAAGACCAACACCCGCATCATTAGAATTGTTGTTAGAGTCATCAATTGGCCTAATGGTGTTCAGTGGAGTCACCATTTCAGGTGGGTGTGCGGATAAGTTGTGCGTTTCATCATCGAACGGTTCTCGTTTGATTGGACCAGTACTAGGACCAGCATCTCCATCATACCAGTCCTTGTTGGATGGCCAGATGGTTCGCAGAGGTGAGACCATTATAGGAGGAGATGTTGCAGATGTCTTGTGGGTTTCATCATTGACATCGTCAAATGGCATAATGGTTATATGAAGCGGTGACGTCATTGTCGGAATCGTTGATGTGTTTCTGGTCTGGTCATCTACCAAATCCGGTATGAAACTTGCGAGCGGTATTGCCTCGATTGGAATAGACGTATCCATTTCAAAAAAATCCTATCATTACAAAAATAAGAATCAGTCATAATTAAACAAGTAGATATATATATATATATATATATATATATATATATATATATATATATATGATATAGCAAGTAGATTTACGAAATATGGTTGTGAACATTATTCAAAGATTGCGAACATTGCAAAAACGTAAACAACATTTCTCAAATTTTTTATCAGAAATAGTATAAAGCATTAATTTCATGAGAGACTCAGATTCTGAAACTTGAAATCATTTTTATCAAGCTACAAAAAAGAAAGACATGAAATGATAATTAGGTTTTTGGAAAGAAAAAGAAAAAGAAGAGAAGATGAGAGATGTTTTAAAACTATTTTGTGACAATATTTAAACCACATGTTATTATTAAATTGCTAGCAATATGTTAAGATCTGAAATATAAATTAGCAAATAAATAGACAAGGAAGAAATTAATAAAAACAAATTATCCACACCAGACACATTAATCAAGCAAATTGAACAAAAAAATTTACAACTTGAACATGGAAATGCATAGCTGTATATACCTCAATACCAAGTGTACATAAAACAATAATATAGTGAAACAACAAATCAAATCAACACATACCTCACAAGCCGAGAAATGAGTTTACAAGGAACAAGTATTAGAGGAGGACTCGAGGAGATAACCCAAGACCCAATAGAGAAATTGAAAATTACTAGGAAAATTACGAACGATTGATGGATGAAGTAGTAAAATTAAAATGGTTTATTTGATATTTGAGAGTGAATAATAGAGTAAAGATAATCTTCTATTTAAAGGCAATTAGGATGTGTGTCGTTGTTTACAAGAAGAATGATGGTCATTAGATTGATCTCTACCGTTCAATTTTGAATCATTTAAAAATCCTAGATTTTTTTCTATTTTATTCAATGTATTTTAGACTACCCCATTAATATTTTAACACTTTTGCCTGAAAATAATAATTAAAATAAATGTAAAATATCTTTACTTACCTATTTTAAATAATATTTTCTACATATAAGTAATTTATTCAAACTATCTTAAAAAAGTTCAATTTTGACACATGTACATCCAAAAGGGTATTAAGTATTATACCCTATAATTATATTTTGAATATGACTTCAGAAGTTTGTCATTTTAAGAAACAAATATATATATATATATATATATATATATATATATATATATATTTTATTATTAACTGAATAAGAGTTATCCAAAAGTTGAACGGGCCTCATATGAAGCTAGAGAATTCAACTGATTCAATTAATTATGTGACACCACTACAATAGGTGATATGTTGTGTTTTTATTGGTTTTGAGTCTTTGTTTTCTTTCTTATATCATATGTTTTATCGAGTCAAAGTGTTTTTTTTAGAGTCTTTTAGTCGTTTATCGAGTCTCTACAGGTTTTAGGTTGCTTCGGAGGAAAACGAGCTGTTTTGGGATATAAACACACTTTTGGAAATGCAGTTTCGTTTAGAAGTGTCAGACGTTTGGCCTCAGATGGAATACTTCCCACCGTTAGATCTTTCTGAATTTTTGATACAAGTTAGATGAAGATGTTAGATTGAGTTTACAAGTGGTTTGAAGGAAATCTACCGGTGCATTCAAGAGTTATACCCGAATTAGTGAAGACAGGTCATTCTGCCGAGCTTTTGAAGCAGTTGCGGAGTTGGAGACCAGAAGATCTAGATCGATCGATCCACAAGTGGATCGATCGATCCCATCCTCTGACGGACAAGAAGCAGTTTCTAGTGACTCGGGATCGATCGATCCACCCACCGGATCGATCGATCCCTTCCCCAGACGTATTTTTGGCCCAGATTTGACCCGAGTCACTCCAGATCCGACCCGGCTCATCTCCTATTGTTTTAAAACCCTAAGCTCGACTTTGAGACATTATCTTGGATATTTTTCAGTTCTAAACTTAGTTCTTTGGTTTGTAAACAACTTTGGGCAAAATAATCCATCCTCTTGACACTTGGAGAAGATTTCTAAATCCTTTCTTGTTATTTCTACAATTTTATCATGTATTCTTCATTGATTTTTGTTATCTCTTTTTCTATGTGTGAGTAGTTATCCTATTGGGTTTTTAGGGTTCCTAATTAGGAGATTCAATGGATTAATGGATTGATTGTTATTAGGAATTTCATTCTTTAGGTTCTTTGATTCACATGTTCTTAATGCTAGAATAGGATTGATCACCCTGTTGTAGAACCTAGGTTTTTCTATGCATCAAAAGTGTTCGATAGAATGCCTGAAAGAATGTGAATTGAGCAATGTATTTCTAGCCAACGAAAGTTGACGTTAGGATGCATTGTGAACTTAATGAACTTGTTTGGTAATGCGAATTTGACTAGGAAATTGCATGCGAAAGTTTAGTAATCGAATAGTCAAATTTAGTGATTAATGTCTTGAAAGGGAATTGGTCTAAATGTGTTCATGTTCAAGAACGGGTCGTAATTGTTGAATTCCTTGTCTCATGTTTCCATTGTTCGTTGATCTCTGAAATACCCTAACGCCCAATGTCTTTAAATCTTGAAGTTAAATCGTTTAATTAATTTGCATTTTTATTTTACAAACTGAAAACCCGAACAAGCAATCTTTTTAGTTTTAGCTAAGAACAAGTCTCGGAAATCCTTAGAGTATCTTTGGTCCTTGTGGATCGACCTCGAATATACTGCTTAACGGTTAAGTGTATTGAGTAATTACTCGAGCAATCAATAGGTCTGTGAATACAAAGTTCTTGTTACAGTTTCTTCCCTATAGTCATGGACTTGTGCTAACGTATAAAGACCAATTTGACTTGAAATATATATGATGAAGTCTTTTTATGGATATTGATATTTGCTACAACAAAGCCAAGAAATTTAAGTGGAAAGCCAGGTAACATATAGTGAGACAAAAAGATGTTTCATACAAAAAGATGGACATAAGATAATGTACTTTTCTAGAAAAGCACAAAAGAGATATCAAATGGATCGATAATGAATTTTGATTTTCTTAGTAGATAGATTTTGTTCCACTGTAATAGTAGGTGTAGCATAATATTTTCCTAAGAAAATGACCAGAAGTTGATAATATGCTTACTTCAAAACTATTTGTTTTGGCTTATCTTATAGAATGCAACACACTTAGAGTAATGCAAATGTCAATAAATAATAATATTGCTATGCATACTTGCAAGTAAACAAATTGTTTTTGCAAAGTACGTACTAAAATATAACATGATTTAGGGAAGTTTTGTGGATAATCTTTAGTAGAAAAGGAGTCAAGGGACTATTTTGAAGCGATAACTACCTTAAATTTCTAACGGCGTTAATATTTTAAAGTTTTTTAATGCATAAGAAAAGGATAATGTTTGATTCATGGGAACATTTTTTTTATTGATGGTTCATAACATACAAATAAATATAAAGTACATTAGATGAGATTTCAATAACAAACAGTTTCAAAAGTAATTTTTTTTAGAAATGACAAAATTTTTGTGGTATAGTAATATATAACCCAAACAACTCTCTTCACCATATATATTTTTTGTATTTTTTTTTGCAACAAAACACGTGAGCTACAATATTAGCATGCATGTCAAAAACCAAAATAGTATTTGAAGTTAGGGCAACAACGATGTTGCCAAAATTTATCGGGATAAGTGAAATAAGCAGGATTACTAATTTAGAAGAAATATATTTAGTATACAATAAAAGAGACTATTACCTTTGTTCCTAACATAACGATGTTTTAGTTTTTTTCACACAAATTATGAAAAAGTAAAATTTATATTTTTACTATGTGTTCGTTAGTTTAATAATATTAGGGAAATTGTTAAAAATACCTTTTTTGGTGTGTCCCTTTTCAAAAATGCCCCTTTTAGATGTCCATTTTCAAAAATGCCCCTTTTAAATATGAAATTTTTATAAAGTTTTATTAGGTTTATAAGGTACTTATGGATTATAACTACTACTTGAAGACTCGATCCAAGTATTTATAAGGTTTTATAAGGTGTTTTTAAAGGTTTTACAAGTTATTTTAAAGGATTTTTAAGGTTTTCAAAGGTTTTACAAGATATTTTAAAGGTTTTTAAAGGTATTTAAAATACATTTATAAGGTATTTATAAAGTATTTCTAAGATAAAATGTAGTTTGTGTATGTTTTAATAATATTACATACATATTTGGGTAAGTCTTATATTTTTAAGAGCATTTTTTATAAGGTTTTTAAAAAGAGGTATTTTTGAAAAGTGACATTGAAAAAGTAGCATTTTTGCAAAAGCCCTATAATATTAATTCTGTTATATATATATATATATATGGATAACAAATGAAAGTAATAATGATGTTGACACAAATCATCAATGATTATAAAACAAGAAAAACCCCAACATATCAATCTATTAGGCTAAGAGGCGATACTTAATAGGAAAAAAAACATGATTAAAATTTTGTCGAAAACGACAAAAGCAAACACGTGCGCTACAAATTGTCATGCACAAGTATAAAAAAAATTGTATTACCAAATTAAAAACTATACCCAAGCATACTTTACGTACATATATAACAAATATATTAGTTAGGATTCAAAGTAGAATAGATTACCTATACTATATATAAGAACTATAACATTCAAATGAAATTTATTTGCCTTTTAAACAAATTTTAGATACATATATTGTATGATATGTAATATGATGTTCATTTCCATAACTATCTTTTAGCGTTGAGAATATAGTATTAAGCTCATATATCTAATGGTTTGTATTGAGTTAGAAACTTAAATTGATTTGATTTTGGAAATCGATGAAGTAAAGCAGATTAACCAGAGATAAACTTTGATATTCTAGTCTTTTATATTTGTTATTTTTATGTCTAGCAAGATCGAACTGCACACAATGAATATTACGAATATAAACTTTGATAAAGAAAACGAATAATTTGCAACAAAATGATTGAACTTAACATTCTACACAACAATTGATTATTTTCTTCTAACATGA